CAGAAGAGAAACTTGGAGCTACCCTTGAACAAACTGGTGCAGACTGAGATTGACAATTAATAAACGGGACCTCCTGAAACTGAGAAGCTTCTGTAAGGCAAAGGACACTGTCAACAAGACAAAAAGGCAGCCCACAGAATGGGAAAAGATATTCACTAACCTCACACTGACAGAAGGCTGATGTTCAAAATTTACAAAGAACTCAAGAAGGAAGTCTCCAAAACACCAATGGGTCCAATTAAAAGTAGGGTACAGAACTAAATAGAGAAACCTCAATAGAGGAGTCTAAAATGGCTGAGAGGCACTTGAGAAAGTGCTCAACATTCCTAGCCATTAGGGAAATGCAAATCAAAACAACTCTGAGATACCATGTCACTCCTGTCAGAATGGCTAAATCAAAAACACCAATGACAGTTTATGCTGGAGAGGATGTGGAGAAAGGGGAACACTCCTCCACTGCTGGTAGGAGTGCCAACTCGTATGCCACTTTGGAAATCAGTATGGAGATTCCTCTGGAAAATGGGAATCAGTCTACCACAAGACCCAGCAATTCCACTCTTTGGCATATACCCAAAAGATGCACATTCATACAACAAGGATGTCTGTTCCACTATATTCACAGCAGCATTATTTGTAGTAGCCAGAACCTGGGAGCAATCTAGATGCCACTCAACTGAAGAGTGGATAGAGAAAATGCGGTACAGTTACACAATGGAGTACTATTCAGCAGAAAAAAACAATGGAATCTTGAAATTTGCAGGCAAATGATTGGCACTAGAAGAAACCATCCTAAGTGAGGTAACTCGGTTACAAAAAGACATACATGGTATGTACTCATTCATATATGAACTTTAGACATGGATCAGGGTAGTGCCAGCCTACAATTCCACTGCCAGAGTCTGGGAAACAGAACCTTCATCCAGTGACTGATGGAAGCCGAGGCAGACACCCACAGCTAAACACTGAACTGAACTCCTGAAATCCAGTGACAGAGAGGGAGGACTGATAAGCAAAGAAGTCAAGACTGGACTGGTTTAACCCACAGAAACAGCTGACCTGAACTAGAAGGACCTCTTGGACCCCAGACTGATGGCTGGGAGGCCAGCATGGGACTTTGAGGAGGCCTAGGTAATTTATGGAGCCTTGGATAGTAGATCAGTATTTATCCCTGGCATACAAATAGACTTTGGGTGCCCATCCCATAATAAGGGATGCTCTCAACCTGACCTCTTGGGAGAGGGCCTAGGCCCTGCCCTGAACGAAATAACAGACTCTGGAGATCCCCCAGGAAGGGCCTCATCCTCCCTGGGGAATGGAGTGGGGATTGGATGGAGGGCTGGGAAACCTGGTGGGGTGGGGGAGGAGGGGAGGGAGAGGGAGCTGGGATTGACATGTGAAGCAAGCTTGTTTCTAAATTTAAAGAAAAAATGAAAATAGACCCAAAAAATAATAATACAATGTTTTCCCTTCATTTATTTAAAACAAATTTAACTGATACAGGTTTAGTATCCCCTATCAAAAATGTTTATAGACTTGCAGATAGGAGTGAAATCTAAATACAAAAGCTACCCCATACACAGAAACTGAAGTTTATTTTATACAATATTTTTGATGCACTTGTGTGGACTTTGACCTTGAAGTTCTACAATAGTACACAAAAACTTAGATTTTGGAATATTTAGATTTCAGGTTAGATATAATCAAAGTAATATAACACCCTTTTTCCACTTAAGATGGATTTTACTCTATGGTTTGCCTTTGTATCATTAGTAAAGATTCTGTAGGAAGAAAATACCAGAAGCCCTTTGGTCACCTCCAATAATGTGAGAAAGTAAAATAAAATAGTATACATTTGCTTAAGATAGCAAAGCTAGCAACTGAAAAGACCTGGAACTCAAACTCCTATCAACACATAAATTCTAAAATCAGTTGTCTTCCATAATTCAATCCAGAACACCACTGATTATAGCATCAAACACAAAAGATCATACTTTAACTTGAATATTCTTAAGAAAATAAACACTGCCATCATACAAAAGTGACTTACTGACTATAAAAGCAACATATAGCTTCTGTTCTCATTTTACCCAACATGTTATATTCAATATAAAAATATGACTTGTTTTTACTGTAATTCACAGCTAGCTCCAAATGGTTACTAAATTCCACAAGCCCACAGTTACCTTACAGACAGCTATTTTAGGTTAATACTGTCACTAAAGTGTATATTAAAGAGACTATTTACATGCCTATGTTGAAATAATCAGTTCACATGTATAATATTCCTTTTACTACAGAATAAATAACTAGAAAGATATGCAAGAGTGGACATTTCAAGAAATCTTAAAATATGAAACTTGAAATCACAGAAATATGAAACACAGGAACGTCACTAATCCTCTCTTCTCATTGGTAAGTGTAGACTGCTCTTATCCTAAAACAATGACACATAGAAATGTATAATGCAGCCGGGCGTTGGTGGCGCACGCCTTTAATCCCAGCACTCGGGAGGCAGAGGCAGGCGGATCTCTGTGAGTTCGAGGCCAGCCTGGTCTACAGAGTGAGTTCCAGGACAGCCTCCAAAGCCACAGAGAAACCTTGTCTCGAAAAAAAAATGTATAATGCACAGTAGGAAAGATCAAAGACCTAACTTCCACATCATACCCATTAACTAAATTTCTTTAGAATCAAAATTAGCCAAGAAATTATAAGCAAGTCAAAAACAAACTATATTTTAAAGTTGGTTCTAAAATATTCCAGAACCAGTTACTCAAATGCCCCAAGAAGCACAGACGGTACGCTGGCACACTTACTGAGGAGGCTTCCTGGTTCGGTGTCTTTCGCTACTTCAGGCATGTATTCACATCCCCAATGCCCCACAAACTTCTACTTCACTAACCACCAGGGAAATGGGTCAAAAGATGAAGGGGTTCCGAGCAACAGAATGAGCAAGAATGATGATAATGATTTACGGAAAGAGGAAAGGGGAATCGAAAGCAACAAAGACAGCAAACTGGAAGTTTTTGTTCCATTTTTATCCTAACTTTTAAAGATAAAATCTTTTTTTTCTAAACTTTGCAACTTACAAAGATTTCTCTAGAAATGCATTTCAAAAACAAACCTCAGTGCCCCAAACCCACTAAGCTTTAACATCAAACAGCACAGTTAATTATAGAACAAATATTCAAGCTTATAACATCCTAATTATAAAATGTAAATTTCAAGGGTATGAAGAGAGCTCATAGGCACACTTCTCTTGCAGACAACATTAGCCAGCTCAAGACAGCCTGAGACTACAGCTCCAGGTGACCTGATGCCTCTGGTCTCCTAGGGCAATGGCCTCCAAGGGCAACTATTCCTGTGCACACACATTCTAACACATGGTATGCATATGTATATCTCATTAGTATTACCTTTCAAAAAGAATATACTAATGAAAAATGACAAGTAAACAAAACTTTTGCAAAATATAAGAAAAAATTACTTGTCTAAAAGAATTTGTTCTATTTGTATTCCAACTCAAACTGAAACTTCATCTTCTGAATTATCACAAAAATGTCTTAGATTATTAAAGTTGAAGGCTTAAAAGTTTTGTGTAGTTTAATAATTTGAGACATAAAATCCCTTTCTACAAAGCGTTATTAAAGTCACACCTTGGTGATATTCCCTGTATCTTGTGAATGTTAAATTCCAGATTTGTTAATTCAGGTGTTACTGAGCATGGTATGCTGAATCCATGAGTGGTCAATGGAGATTCTGAGCAATGGTGATTTTAAACAGGGTGCTATACGCAGCATGATTGAAAAATAAAAACTGTGGTCCTATACACCTAAAACAATCTCTAAATACAAGATCATAGGTGGATCAGTTCAATTCCACTTTATTTCTATTAAATAATGAGAGTATATTTAATAACAAAAGTTAAATATAATGTCTAAAAGTTTTAGTATTAGGTATTTCATTTTTATAGAACAGACAAATCTAGGATAGGAAAAAAAAGTATTTAGGACTTGGGAGGTGTCTCAGTGGTTTAGAATACTGGACATTCCTCCAGAGGACCCAGGTTCAATTCTCAGCACCCACATGGCAGTTCACATATACTAGTGAAAAAATGACAAGTAAACAAAATTTTTGCAAAATATAAGAAAAAATTACTTGTCTAAAGGAATTTGTCTGTAACTCCACCCTCACACAGACATGAATGCAGGCGAAAAAAACCAATGCAGGTGAAATAAAAATAAATAATTTTTAAAGTATTTAGAAAACTCCTTTGGGGGCCACAGTATACAGTAGGTTAAGGCACTTGCACAAGCCTGAGAACTTGACTTCCGTGTCTGCACCTCACCAGGGAGACAACAGACTCCTGAAAGCTGTTCTCTGACATCCATGCAAGCCCCTGCACTCGCTCACATGTAAATTGTTTCAAATTATTGTAAATAACTTCTAAACACCAAACACAAAATCTATGTGCTCTTTGAATTTATGAGCAATATCTACAAATGTTTAAATATGCTAGCTACCATTTCTTACGGAGTCTTCTATGTCCTTTGAAATCCTATCAATTTGAACACAGAAACATTTTCCCTCATTTTTTTTCTACCTTGTCAACCATCAGATACTAAACTAACACTCGTCACTAACATTTTCAATTTACACAAATTACTTATTTGCAATCCTTTCTTAAAATTATGGTATGTTTGCCACCAACAAAACTACACCATTCAACACTTAAGGCTTACTTCCAGAGATACAATATACTTCCATATATCCTTGGTATTAATAATCCTTATAAGGATGCTTGCATTTTACAGGGGCTGTCTAACAACTTTGGCATTAATGTTAAAAGTTCAAGGCTCTAATATGAAAACTAGCACTTAAAACATGCCGCACGCGGGAAATAATAAGGCATTGTTGGTATTAGGTAAACGCGGCATCAACAATCGTTTTTGTCCTTGGTGACGAACAGTTGCAGTTATGAAAACACTATTTTAAATACGTACACGTGACAGAAATCCGCCTCCTACAGCACTCAGGAAACTTAATTCTGGGAGACTACCAACGGAAGTGTCTCGCACTCCTCGTTGTGACGATCCTTGAAAGGAAAATTCCCCGTTATGGAAAGGAGCACATCTCCAGGCGCGTACGGACAAACGACGGCGTGTCGCCGCCTCGTGTGTGCCACCCACTCGGCTCTGCCAGGCTGACGGGGCGGACTCACAGTGGGGACAGTCGGGTCCCCTGTGATAAACCCACCGGGGGGTTGGCAGCCCACCCTGCGGGCGGCCCGGAGCCCCAGCACCCGCCCTGAGCCTCGGTGGTCGTCCTGCGCCCCCGGCCGCGCCGCGATGCGTGCCTGCGTGCGTGAGTGCGTGCGTTACTAGCGGGTGCGTCGGGCAGTTGGCTCCCGACAGCCACTCACGCAGATGCCCTCGGTGACCCAGCAGGTTCCGAGGCGGGGCAGAGCAGAGTTCGAGGCCCGGGCCTCCAGGAGCTCGCGGGCGGGCAGCGCGGAGAGAGGGCGCAACGACGACGGGCAGCCCGGTGCGCAGGGGCCCGGAGGCCGAGGCCCCCGACGGGGCGGCCGCGCAGGCCAGCCCCGCGGACACCGCCCGACGGCCGGCGGCGCCCCGCACCCGGCGCGAGGGCGCCCCGACCGCGGCCGTTGGCAGCGGTTTGCCGGCCACCCCGCCGCTCCCATCCCCGCCTCACCCCGTCGGGTCTTCCAAGGCCGGACCTACAGATTCCCTGGACCAACCAACGAGCGCAAACCGCCGCCGCCAGAGCCTTGGAGCTGCGCCGGGGGTGGGGGCGGAAGCCGCGGAGGGAGGAGTCGCCGCGGGACGGGGCGGGGAAGGGCGTGGCCAGCGCCGCTCGTGCCGTCCTCGCGCCTCGGGGGCCTCGGGCGCCGCGCCTCGGTGCCTCACGCGGAGTCGCCCCCCCACCTCGGCCAATCAGCGGCCGCCGCTGGAGGCGAGGGGGCGGGACCGAGGCTCGGGTTCCCGAGGAGGCGCCTGCGACAGGAAGAGGGGACTTGGAGTGGCAGGCTCGCTGGCCAATCGGGACGAGGAGAGCGAATCCTGGCGAGTGGGGTCTGGCGCGTGGAAGGCTCGAAGGCGTTACTGAACAAGTTTCAATGTGAACTGGTGGGCTCTCCTTAGGGGAGACGTAGGTAGGCTGGGAGGGTTCTTTGTCTTGTTGGGTGGAGTTTGCAAATCTTGAACCTTGACGCAAAGACAGTCATGGGGACCTTCATGAAGGAGGAGGGGAGGGGCGGCTCCCAAAGCCCCCTAACTTCTCCTGAGTCCCCTGAAAACGGCTACCGTGACAGCCGGGTGACTGACAGCATTAACACAGTTTAGCCCTTTTATGCTCCTGCATGCCGGGAGGGTTCGTCTGTTCTCACGGTGCGTTATTCGCGCTATCGCGTGTTTTACAGACGGAAACCCACGCAGAGAGCTCTGGACAGTTTGCACAGTTTGCGCAGTGAGTGACTCCAGTTCTTTCCCGAAAAGTGCATGTAGAGCACTGTGGTTTGTACTATCCCAAAGGGTCTCCACCAGGAGAGCACTGTGCACAACACCAGGGCACACTCGTAACTCGGAAACATTCCTCAACTCCTCTCTGCTCAGTACACTCAAAACATGTTGAAAGCTTAAGCCTGGTTCGATAGACTTGTTTAGCTTTGTTCCTTTTTTAAAAGATGTTTTTTAACCTCAGAAACTGTAAAAGTAAGATTTGTTAAGCACCATTTGCTAGGCCTATTTATTTCTCCAGGAAGAAGATGCGGTCCACACTTCATTTTCGTGTAGAAGTCATTTACCAGTAGCGACCTCTATGAAGAGTGTTTCTAGCTGGCTGAGTTGGTTTTTAAGCGTAGGAACCCTTAAGAGCCAGTAGGTGGCGATATTTCATTGTGAGATGTGGAAGAGTTCTTGGCGGTAACCTGGGAGCGGGAGACTAATTAACATTTCCAGTTTTGGTACATGTTTGCATATATGTCCCTAGAGAATTATAAGTGGGAAGAAATCCTTCCTAGATACATTTTTATAGAAATAAAAATAATTATAGCACTGGAAGAAAGTGGCATTCTGGTGTGTGTGTGTGTGGTTTTAATTTACGGTGTGTGTGTGTGTGTGTGTGTGTGTGTGTGTGTGATGAGCACTTGAAAAACCTTAAAAGTGTATAATTTATTAGAGAGAAAAAACAACTGTAAGCAAGTATAATCATCAATTTCCAGCTTGCAGCTACAGGTGTTGTTACCCCTTTCAAAGCCTATATTGTAGTCACAGCCTGAGGAAAGGTGCAGGGTCTGCATTCACCAGGTGACTACTCAACAGTAGGCTCTTAGGATGTAGTCTTGGTTTGTCTCGATTTCTCCTGCTTCCACTACCCCTCAGGCTGCTATTTGAGAGATGCCTAGAGAACCCAGATGAAGCAGAGAGACCTTTCTTCACAAGGATAGATTGTAACATGTGGCTTTGTGATGAGACCATCCCCAAATACCCAGCACTGGCTTCCACTCTTCGTTCTGACACGTTTTTCTCTTTGTAGACATATTTCTTATGTACAGCCTCAGCCTCACCCTTTACAGTTATCACTAAGTCTTAACTTCCTAGGGGGTCGACATACTGACGGGCTGGGTCCTCAGTGCTAAAGGTTGTGGGAGAGTGTAGACCTACAGGGGAATAATGCAACCTGTCTGCCTTTATGAACTGGGCATTTCTGTTGTATATTTATCTGCAGTTCTTTTATTTCTTCTCATTCTAGGTGAGACTTGAAGCATTGTGTTGATAATGTGTCTGTTTGGAATTATTATATTCTCACGTGGTTTGTTCTCTCTTCTTTTCAACAGCCCTTTAAGGGTTTATTATAAACCAGCTTTGTAGGCCCCAGGGAAAAGAAGGACTGTGTGCAGCCTTTTGGAAAACAGGTAAGGAACTGAGGAGGGCCAGGATGAGTCTGAGCAGTGGTTCTCAGCCTGTGGATTGTGACCCCCTTGAGGTAGCAGATAGGGTATTTACATATGATTCATAACAGTAGCAAAATTACAGTTATGAAGTAGCAAAAATAATAACTTTGTGGTTGGGGGTCACCACAATATGAGGAACTGTATTAAAGGGTCACAGTTAGGAAGGATGAGAACCACTGGTCTGGAGAGTTAGAGAGTACATTCTCCAGGGAAACCAGACAATCCACTGAGACTCCATAGACAGCATAGCTCTTAATATGAAATCTCTAATTTGTACATTGAGTTGTCTTTCTGAAGACTTATTATTACTGTAACTACATCTCCTTGCTTTCAAATACCAGTTGCTTGAAATATTTTTCATCCTAAGATTTTGCTTGTCTTTGCCATTGAGTTGTGTTTCTTACAGGCAACAACTACTTGGGGAACAGGTTTTTTTTTTTTTTCCAGTCTGCTAGTTTGTCTTATCGTTGGAGAATTGAGGTCATTAGCCTTCAGAGGTGTTATTGAGAAGTATGTATTAATCCTCATTTGCTCATCCTCTCTTCTTCTTCATGACCTTACAGTGTGTATTTCTTTTTTCTGTGTAGACTTCCTTCAGGTGTCTTCTGTAGTGCTAGCTTAGTGGTCAGGAAAGCTTTCAGTTCATGATTACCATGGAAAGGTTTTCTTTCTCTTCCAATAGTGAAGGAGAGTTTTGCTGCACATAGTAATCTGAGATAGCAGTTATTGTCTTTACAAGTTTACAGTACATCATTCCATGCTTTTAGATTTGTTGTTGAGAAATATGCTGTTACTCTGATGGGGTTATCTTTACATGTAACTTGGTGCTTTTGTCTTGTAGCATTTAGTATTCTTTGTTACCTATCTGTCTTAGCTGTTTTAAATAGAAAATGACTTGGGGCCTTTCTTTTTTGAGTTTATCTGTTTGGTATTCTAATGCCTCCTATGTTTTGATGAATATCTCGTACCCTAGATTAGGAAATTATCTATGATAATTTTGTTTTGCATTGGTTTTGTTTTTTTTGCCCTTTGCTTTTGAGACAAGGTCTATCTATGTAGCTCTGGCTGGCCTGGAACTCAAGAACAGTCTTGAAATCACAGAGATCTACCTGCCTCGGCCTCCTAAGTGCTATGATTAAAGACATGTACTGCTACACTCAGCTTTAGCTATGAGTTTGCTAAGTATATTTTCTTTGTTTGTAGTTTCTGTGCCCATGATTTGTAAGCTTTGTCTTTGAATGGTGTGCCTACATCTTGAAGGTCTTACTTATAATCTTTATGAATTAATCTCTTTTGTCTGACTGTTGCTAAATTATCTGTCCTGTCTTAAATCCCTGTTAATGTAGCTTCTGCTTGACCCAACAATTAGTGAGGAGTTTTGATGTTTTTTACTTGACTTACTGAGCTTTTAATTTCCAAAATTTCAATTCAAAAGTTAATGTTATTTTTTTATTTTGTTGAGCATTCTTTTTATTATTTTTTTTTAATTTTTATTTTAGAAACAATCTTATTTTACATATCCTCCCATTCCCTCACCCTCCCATTCCCCCACCAACTCCCTCAACCCACCTCCCACCCACTCCCCAAGGATAGTGAGGCCTTCCACAGGGGACCATCAAAGTCTATCACAACATTTTGGGGAGGGCCTAGGCCCTCTTTCATGTATTTGGGCTGCAATAGTATTCCTCCATAGGGAATGGACTCCCAAAGTCCATTTGTGCACTAGGGATAAACACTGGCTCCACTGTTAGAGGTCCCATAGACTGCCCAGGCCTTCCAGCTGGCACCCACATCCAGAGGGCTTGATTCTGTCCAATGCTGGTTCCCCAGCTTTACGACTAGGGTCTCTATGCTCTCACTAGGTCAGGTAAACTGTTTCTGCAGGCTTCTCCAGCACAACCTTGGCTCCTTTGCTCATCTCTCCTCCCTCTCCACAACTAGATTCTGGGAGCATGGCTCAGTGTTTAGCTGTGAGTGCCTGCTTCTGCTTTGATCAGCTACTAGATGGAGGCTCTAGGAATGGCAACCAAGTTAGTCATCAGTCTCAGTATAGGGGAAGGGCATCAAAGGCAGCGTCTCCACCACTGCCTAGCTTCTTAGTTGGGGTCATCCCTGTGGATCCCCAAACATTTCCCCAGTACCAGACCTCTCTCCAAACCTATTCTGACTCCCTCATCAAGGCATCTCCTTTCTTGCTCTCCTCTATTCCTCCCCTGTCTCAGTCCTCCTGATCCCTCCTGTTCTCCTCCCCCTCTCCCCTTCCCACCTCTCTCCTCTGTCCCCACATGCTCCCAGTTTGCTCAGGGGGTCTTGTGCCCCTCTCCTTCTTTGGGGGACCATGCTTTGTTGGGGAAGTCTTATGTCAATAAAGCACTGTCTGGCCAATAGGAATCTAGATAGGTGGGACTAAGAGTCCAGGAGTACTCTGGGAAGGAGAAACACAAGAGAGTCGAGATGTAACACCATGGGGTAGGAGGCCCGGAAATTTCTCCGGTAAGAGATATACTTAGATTAACAATTATGAGGTAATTACTTAAGTCAGAGCTAGCCAGTAAGAAACAAGCAAGGCCAACAGCTTCATAATTAATACAGCATCTTGTGTGTTATTTGGGGACTACAATGCGGCAGAGCCTAGGCAACTGGCGGGTGATAAACCAAAGTGGCTAGCAAAGAAAAAGCTTCTCTTTACAATGCTTTCTTCTCCTGGGGTCCTCCTTGTTTCCTTGTTTCTCTGGTGGTGTGGATTGTAGGAGGGTAGTCATTTGCTCTATGTCTAATATCCATATATGAGTGAGTACATACCCTGCTTATCTTTCTGTGATTAGGTTACCTCACTCAAGATGTCTTCTTCCAGTTCTATCAATTTGCCTTCGAATTTCAAAATTCCATTTTTTCCACTGAGTAATACTCATTGTGTAAATGTACCACATTTTCTCCATCCATTCTTCAGCTGAGGGCCATCTAGGTTGCTTCCAAGTTCTGGCTATTACAAACAATGCTGCTAAGAACATAGTTAAACATATATGTCCTTGTGTGAATGTGTATCTTTTGGATATATGCCCAAGAGTGGAATTGCGGGATCTTGAAGTAGACTGATTCTCATTTTTCTAAGAAACTGCCATACTGATTTCCAAAGTTGTCATACAATTTTTCACTCCCGCCAGCAGTGGAGGAGTGTTCCTCTTTCTCTACATCCTCTCCAGCATAGACTGTCATTGGTGTTTTTGATTTTAGCCATTCTGACAGGAGTAAGATGGTATCTCAGAGTTGTTTTGAGTTGCGTTTACTGGATGGCTAAGGATATTGAACACTTAAGTGTCCTTCAGCCATTTTAGATATCTCTATTGAGAATTCTCTATTTAGATCTGTACCCCACTTTTTTAATCGGATTGTTTGGTGTTTTGGTAACTAGCTTCTTGAGTTCATTGTATACTTTGGAAATCAACCCTCTGTCAGATGTGGGGTTGGTGAAGATCATTTCCCATTCTGTGGGCTGCTGTTTTGTCTTGTTAACTGTGTCCTTTGCCTTACAGAAGCTTCTCAGTTTCAGGAGGCCCCATTTATTAATTGTCAATCTCACTGTCTGTGCTACTGGTGTTATGTTCAGGAAGCTGTCTCCTGTACCAATTCGTTCTAGGGTACCACCCACTTTGTCTTCTAAGAGATTCAGTGTGGCTGGATTTATGTTGAGGTCTTTGATCCATTTGGACTTAAGTTTTGTGCATGGTGATGTATATGGATCTATCTGCAGTCTTCTACATGTCTGCATCCAGTTGTGCTAGCACCATTTGTTGAAGATGCTTTCTTTCTTTCCATTGTATAATTTTAGCTTCTTTGTCAAAAATCAGGTGTTCGTAGGTGTGTGGGCTAATAACAAGTAGATCAATTCGATCCCATTGATCTACCTATCTATTCTTGTGCTAATACCAAGTTATTTTCAGAACTAAGCTCTCCAATAGAGTTTGAAGTCAGGGATGGTGATGCCTCCGGAAGTTCCTTTATTGTACAGGGTTGTTTTGGCTATGCTGGGTATTTTGTTTTTCCATATAAAGTTGATTATTGTTCTTTCGAGGTCTGTGAAGAATTGTCTTGGAATTTTGAGGGGGATTTCTTTGAATCTGTAGATTGCTTTTGGCAGGATTGCCATTTTTACTATGTTAATCCTACCTATCCTTGTTGAACATTCTTAGTTATTTATTTTCATTTCTTCATTTGGAATTTCATGTATTTTACTCTCACTGGAAAATTTTACTGTGGAATCAGTCATTGATGAGTATATTGCCTTCATTTTCCTTCTTGTTTTTCATCATTGGGACTTGCATGTCTGTCATTAGATAGCTTTTTTTTAATTACTGTGAATTAATTGCCTATCGCATTGTGATGACAAAACACCTCCAAATAGTAGCTTATGTAAGGAAGGAAGGGTTTATTTACATTACAGATACCAAGGTTACCGCCAATCATGGCTAGGAAGGTATAGCAACAGGAGCCATAGTGTCTGTTCCCAGTGTGTCCATAGTCAAGAGACAGATTGGTGAGGGCTTGGTTCCCTCTCACTTTTATTGTTCATTCAATCCTGATGCACAGCCACATTTAGGGTAGATCTTACCACCTCAGTTGTCTAGATTACCTGTCACAGGCATGCCCACATATTTGTGTGCATAGTGATTCCAAGTCTTAAGTTAACAATCCAAATAAAACACCACATACCATGGCCTTTCAATTGGAGCATTCTTACTATGTAAGTGGAGTTAAGTTGTCTTCCGACCGAGCTGTAGTTTCTCTATGCTGTACCGGGGATGTAGCTCACTGGCTATCGTCCTCTGCTTCTTTCCAAGCACAGACTACTAACTAGAAGTAACCACAACTTAATGATAAACCCACTAAAAAAACTCAGTGCAAATAGATGCAAAAGGCCATTTTCTCAAGGGCCTCAGGCTGAGGATGGGGTATAGGTCACT